AGAGAGAGAGAGAGAGAGAGAGAGGAAAGAAAATGCTTAAATCAATAAGGGATAATTTGGAACATATAAATTTATGGTGAGGATAGTTTTGTCTTGAATAAATTAATTTTCTGGTTCTACTTCTGCTTCTTGGAAGAAGCTAAAATTTTCTGGTTCCTCCCAAAAGCAGAAAAATTGCTTCTGCTGTTGGCCAAAAATACTTTTTTTATTTTGGTCAAACACCTTAAATTTTTCAAAAAGTACTTTTCTAACAAAAAAAGTACTTTTTTGACCAAAAAAAAAAAAATACTTTTGGCCTCCGAAAAGCTTCGAGAGAGGCTCTTGCTCTCGTTTTTCTTTTCCTTTATAGAAACAGTTCCCCTCGGTTTTTAAGAATTTTATATTTGTCTTTGGAATATAAAAGTGCATAATTGCATTTGTACCTATTCTAACTAGGATTACTACGTATATAAATTTTCTTACAACCAAGCCCTGACGTGCTCTTCGAGCAGCTTCTTTCATCATCTCATTTTTTTACTTTCCAAAAACTTTTGTTTCCCTAATCTATTCTAACTAGGATTACTCCGCCTATATATTACTCCATCTTATAACCAAGCCCTAGCCCTTCAGGTAGTACTTTCATATCACCTCGCTCTTTTTATTCGCAAATCAACACATCAATGGCTGCATGCATCTCATTAGGTCATGAACATTCGTTCAAGAAGTTTGATGAAGTTTTCAAGCTACCGCAGAAGAGGTACTTCGACTTTTGTTCCTATGAAATAAACGATAATCATCAACTGGAAAATTATAGAAACAAGAGACTCAAATGTTGTCATGTCTACCCTAGTCTAAAAAATGGTGGCTGGATCGTTATACTTACCTAAGGAAAAAACCAAATAAACCACGAGGTGAAGATGCACACTTTATCCATAAATTATACCAAACAATTGGTGTAGCAGATGGCGTTGGTGGCTGGGAAAAAAGGGTGTCGACGCTGGAATATACGCAAGAGAGATTATGAACCCTAAAAGGGTTCTTCAAGAAGCTTACAAAAATACCAATTCTGAAGGATTGTCAACAGCATGTATTATAAGTTTGGACAGTGAGAAAAATACGTTATGTGCTGCTAACGTTGGTGACAGTGGATTTTTTCTGATTAGAAACGGAAGAGTTATATACAAATCGCCAATACAACAACAGAGGTTTAATTGTCCTTATCAATTGGGAAATGCTAAAGATAATCCTAGTGCTGCTCAAGAGCTGGAATTAATCGTCGAAAAAGATGATGTTTTGATTGTTGGAACAGATGGGCTGCTTGATAATATGAATGAAAGGGAGATTCGGGAACTTGTTAGAAGTGTTAGCCTCAAGGTTTCACGTATTGATTTTGTTAATAACAAAACAACATAATTATTAATCAAAGAACATTTACTTATGGTAATCTTATTCTTGTACGGGTTTGTTCAAGTAAAAAGATGCTAGTAAAGATCCAAAGAAATATAAGAAAGAGAATAACATGTGAAAAATTTATAAGCGAAAATAGTAACAAGGAAGATACTATATGGAAGAGATACTACAAGGGTAAGGAAGAATATATTTTCTATAGAAAGAAAATATATTATGGGTATAGTATATCTATATTATGGAAAAAGATTATTTTTCAAAATCAAGAAAGGAGACAAAGATATATTGAGATCTATCAAAAGGAAATTATTCCCATAATTATATAAATAATAAATGATTATTGAGATCTTCATATAATTGGAGACAAAAATCAAGATCCAAAGTCAAAGGAAGAGGATAGTGAAATTCTGTTAAGTTGTCTAAATAAGAGCTCAAATTTGTACAGCCAGAAATCTACCTTAAGTAGAAGAGTACGAGAATATTTCAGCAATGAGAGAAAGGTTATTGTTATCTTAATATCTCCAAGTTGACTTACAAGGTGGATACATATTTTTGATTTGAAGAATTCAATAGTCACAAATCATTCTGTGAGCCCTCTACTTCTTTAGACAAGGATAAAAGTGGCGGACAACAAAAGCAAAAATGATTTATGTCACTTATTTTGAAAATTTATTTGCGCAATGAAACCAAAGCTCTTCAGCCCCATCTACAGCTAAAGGTGGATACATCTCCACGAGAAGATATTTCCTCAGATTTGATATAAAGTCCTCCAGTCTTTTTTGAAGTGATTATATACCGTGCACCTATTGTGATTCGATGGCGCCTTTAATTTTTTTTTAAATGAGTTTTCATATTGAATGTTTGCCAAAATTGTCGTATGATTTAAAGTTGCTAAAGCTTTTTAATTGCTTTTAAATCACTATTTTCTACTTTCAGTTTCAGTTTGTGTGATTCTTAAGCACTCTCATTAATTGGATACTTAGTAAGGAGAATATATTGCGAATTATATATTGGTTGCTTGACTTTTATATCCTTAGGTTCATGTATTTGGTATACGTTACACCCTTTTGATGATGACAAAAGGGGGAGAAAATATATGGTACAGAACTTTCCTTGGAAATGTTATAGATAAAACGAAAAATGTTCATATACGTCAGTGAACTATGCGAATTAGGACATATATGCCCGTCGTTAATAGTTTAGCACATATATGCCCAATTCGTCAAATACTTGCTCATTCATGTCCTTAGTTTAACGGAACCATTATTTTATCTTTCTTAAATAATTAATAACCGGACCCAACCAAAATTTGCTGACCCGATCCGTTAGGACCCGACCCACCCTTATTTCAAAGATATTTTTTGATATATTATTTTTGTTTGATTGAGAAATTGTGTGATAATCATATTTATTTATTTGAGTAATTTGATAATCGATTTTTTTTGTTATCATTTCGGGAAGTAATCCTACTAAAAATAGCAATTGATATTTATTTATTATTTTAATAACAAAATATTCGAATTAATTTGTGCTTTCTTCAATCATTTTACTATCTATTTTTATTTTTCCCAAATTTATTTTTCAAAAGAACTCTTCTAAAAAGTATCAATGAACATAATTAAATCGTTTAAAGTTTGGATGTTAGCGATCTATGCAGTTTTTAATTTGAAGCTTATTTACATCCAAATTAGATGGTCGTAGCACCAATTTTCTCAATCAAGCCCTTCAAAATTAGGATTATCTTTAACTTTAGTTTCAAGTCTTATTTTGTTTTCTACTTTTATATTTGTCAAGTACCTCAAAATATTTCAAGTGTATAACATTTCCATTATGGCCTGTATCCCATGAGCAAAGCAAGCGCTCAACTTACGAACAGTGAATTATATTTCATAACAGTGGTGCTTGTTATGAAATAATATTTGTTATGAAATAATTAATTAATAAAAATGGAAAAGAAGCACCACTGTTTTAACAGTTCATTACTTATTTCATGACAAATTTATAATGCAGAAAATAATCCAATAAACTAATAATCAATCATATAATGATCACTTATCTAAACAAAAAAACGGATCTATCAGGTTAAGTTATAGTGAACATGCAGTTATTTGTATTTGTATTGGTGAAAAATACAAATAGATTATGAGAAAAATAAAAATAGATGGTAAAATGATTGAAGAAAGCACAAACTAATTCGAATATTATATTATTAAAATAATAAATAAATATCAATTACTACTTTTAGTAGGATTACTTCCCAAAATGATGTATAACAAAAACAATCGATTATCAAATTAATCAAATAAATAAATATGATTATCCCACAATTTCTCAATGAAACAAAAATAATATATCAAAAAATATCTTTGAAATAAGGGTAGGTCGGGTCCTAACGGATCGGGTCAGCAGATCCGGTTATTAATTATTTAAGAAAGACAAAATAGTGATTCCGTTAAACTAAGGGCATGAATGAGCAAGTAGTGGGCGGATTGGGCATATCTGTGCCAAACTATTAACGACGGGCATATCTGTCCTAATTCGCATAGTTCACTAGCATATATGAACCTTTTCCGTAGATAAAATGCATGAAGGCAGGGGGAACATAACTGAGGAATGCATAGAGTGAGGGGGAGTTAACACTTGATGTACTACCTACATTTCGAGAAGATTACTTCAGAGATTTAATTACCGCCTTTGATTAAGTTTTTGATTAAATTCTCTTATTTTGTATTCAATGATTTGCCATCATCAAAAAGGGGGAGATTGTTAGCCTCAAGGTTTCACGTATTGATTTTGATTACAACAAACCAACATAATTATTAATCAAAGAACATTTACTTGTGGTAATCTTATTCTTGCACAGGTTTGTTCAAGGAAGAAGATGCTGGTAAAGATCTAAAGAAATATGAGGAAAAGAATATCATGTGAAGAATTTATGAGCGAAAATATTATCAAGGAAGATACTATATGGAAGAGATACTACTAGGCCAAGGAAGAATATATTTTCTATGGAAAGAAAATATATTATGGGTACAATATATCTATATTATGGAAAGAGATTATTTTTCAAAATCAAGAAAGGAGACAAAGATATATTGAGATCTATCAAAAGAAAATTATTCCCATAATTATGGAAATAATAAATGGTTATTGAGATCTTCATACTAGAGAGAAAAATCAAGATCCAAAGTCAAAGGAAAAGGATCATGAAAATCTGTTGGGTTGTCTAAATAAGAGCTCAAATTTGTACATCCAGAAATCTACCATAAGTAGAAGAGTACGAGAATATTTTAGCAATCAGAGAAAGATTATAGAATATCTATTTACAAAGTGATACAGCGTAGGGAGGAGATAAAAAAGAATATATGACCAAGGAAGAATGAAGTTGTAGGAAGAAAAGAGTCCGAGGAGTTTACAAGGCAACGAAGCTGTCTGACGGAAACTGCGCTACAAGGAAAGAAATATTTTTCACTATAAAAAGAGCAGATGTGCGTATGAAGCAAATAAATTAGTCTAGTGAAGAAGGAAAGAAAAATACGTTGAAAAACTACAAGAAAGGAAGATTGAAGAGTGGTATTTGATTATGTAAAGATTAGTATATCACTGGACAAGAATTATGGAAAGTCAATCATGAGTTTTTAAATAGCACATGAAGAAAGATCTAGAGCTTACAAAGAAATATTGTTATGGAAGGAATGATATAATCAAGGTGCAAGATTGTGGAATTATAATGAAAATGATCTCAAATCTATACGGGATCATTTAAGTGCAAGATCCAAAAGCAATTCCTTGTATTATTTAAAATCATGTGAAGAACTTCTTTATGGAAATATCTTTTTGGTCAAATCTAATCATCTTTAGATATAAAAGGCAAATGAACATGGACAAGGAAGTGCAAGCTGCCAGAAGCAAAGAATGAACTGTAGTAGAAGGTATCAATTTGCGCAAATCAAGCAGGACACAAGATCGCAAAAATGCTACTGCATTTATGAAGTATAACGGCTAGAGGGATTCGAAGATAGCATAAGAAGGAGCGATCAAAGACGAGAAAATTGATGCAATCTTCTATACAATTGTCTACCCAACTATAAGTTCTTTATTCTACTCTTAACAAGAATTGTAATTTACCTTTAGTAGATTTACTATGTACGCAAAAGAGTAAAGAGAGACAGAAAAATATTGGAGAGGCGGTGTGTACTTAGAGGTTGTGTCATTATTCGTTTCTTTGGTGAGCGAATAAAAATCAACCTTTTGCGTTGTTGGTGAGCGTGTTAAAACCAACTCTTGTTTGTTGTTTGTGAGCGAGTGAAAACTAATCTTTTAAACGTTGGTGGTGAATGTTAAAAATCACACAAGGTGTACTCAACTCATATTACAAAGAGCTAAAGAGATAACCTCCTTGTAACCCAAGGGGACTGGAGTAGGATACCACATTGGTTCCGAACCAGTATAAAATTCCCGGTGTCATTTACCTTACTACTTTCATATTTTATTATAAGCAATTACTGTTTATTGAGATAAGTATTTGATTGAATCGAAGTTCTAACAGTATTGTGCAGGCTGTCTTCGTATTAGTTAACTAGGTATGAGGAATAGTTGACTAGAAATTTAAAAAGGCTACAATTTATCCCCCCTCTTGTACTTTCAATTGGTATCAGAGCTGGTCTTATATTTTTACTTTTGCTTAACAGTAAGTGAGAAAAGATCATGTCAGCACACATAGTTATCGGAGCCTTACTCCAAGCGAAGACTTCTGCATTAACACCCCCATACTTCAATGGGCAGTATTACTCACTGGAAAGTTCGAATGGAAGCTTTCATCAAATCTTATGATGTTAATGTATGGTGCATCATCAAGAAGAGTGACTTTCCTCTCCTACAGCCCAAACCAGAAAAGAAACTAGAAGGATATGTATCTACTGAAACCCTTAATATTGATGATTATACTGATGATCATATGACGATCGTGCAGATAAATTCAAAGGCACAAAATCTATTATACAATG